CGTTGTAACTTATTTGAGACCTTAGAACTTATATCTCAAGGTGGGTGGCGCATTTATGTTGTGGATGTCTATGGACTCCAGTAACCACTTAACACCAGGTGGGCTGTGAGCTCGTCCACCCATCTAAGCAATAAAAAAAAAATACTACCTGGAGCTACTGCGGTCATCCACAGTGCGTTTCCAGAGATCTTTTTTGCCACGTACCATCCGGCTATGGAATGAGCTCCCTTCCACGGTGTTTCCCGAGCGCTATGACATGTCATTCTTCAAACGAGGCTTGTGGAGAGTATTAAGCGGTAGGCAGCGGCTCGGCTCTGCCCCTGGCATTGCTGATGTCCATGGGCGACGGTAACCACTCATCATCAGGTGGGCCGTATGCTCGTATGCCTACAAGGGCAATAAAAAAAATCGCGGAAGCGCTCGTGGAAATGCAACTGTATTATAAACAAAAAAAGTGCGCAGGTCACAACGCGTCTCTAGAAATGTCAAGGGCAGTTCCGGAGCCTTGCATCCCGGTTCAGCGGGGAGATCTCATCCCCTTCGTCCGACCACACTGTTCAATGCCGTCGCCTCCCACAATAAAGTTTAAGGCACAATAGTCTGTTGTTTGAAAGATTCACACTGGTTAATGGACAGTTTAAGAAGTATATAAAAGCATATTGCCCCTGAGAGTTTCAGTTAAGTATACAAACAGTCTAGAAGAGCCATTAGGATTACTCAGAGATTCGACAACTAATAGTAACCGTCACTCAGAAGTCAAATGTAATGTCCCCAGTCTAATTTTTATTTTATATTTTTTATTGCTTAGATGCGTGGACGAACTCACAGCCCACCTGGTGTTAAGTGGTTACTGGAGCCCATAGACATCCACAACGTAAATGCGCCACCCACCTTAAGATATAAGTTCTAAGGTCTCAAGTATAGTTACAACGGCTGTCCCACCCTTCAAACCGAAACGCATTACTGCTTCACGGCAGAAATAGGCAGAGTGGTGGTACCCACCCGCGCGGACTCACAAGTGGTCCTACCACCAGTAATAAGCTATATTATTTGAGCTACAACTCAAATTATGTATAATTCCTACGTTGAAGATAATTTGACATTATATTATTGAATTAACCCACCAACAACTGTATCTAAAATTCATTTTTTAGAAATAGTATAGTATAGTAGTATTAGTATTTTTAGAAATAGTAAATCGTTTGGAGAAATAGTAATATTACATAATAATATATCTCGATACTTGATGAAATCAGCATCGACCAGCGTCTGTCTTCTAGGGACTCGGTAATATTCTTTGAAAACGTTTCCTGATGAGATGTCCCGCCCGTGGATAATGTCGTCGTACAAGGGTACGGGACGGTAGAGACTGTGCGGGATGTCTCCCATATGGTTGATCGACCAAAGCCAGTGGAACAAAGTGAGGCGCATCAAATCCTCCTCCCCCCATCCAATACCACACGACAATCACGACCACTATCAAGAAGGAAAACGGCTCAGAGAAAAAACATCATGTAAAATGTATTCTTTTTTATAACAGGTACATTTTATTATTTTATGATTTAGAAATAAAATAAGGCAACAATGCGTTGCGTTAGGAAAAACTATATCGAGTGTGCTCCTAGCTTAGTAATTTAAGTACCTTACAAGGAACCGACTACCGAGACTAAACTCAATTGTTGGAATTTAATATTTTCCGAGACTTTCGCGAAACACTGATTTAAATCAAACATTTACGGTTTCAACATTGTTATCTTCAATCCAATTATTTATTTCAAAGAAAACTAACAACTTAGATTAACATGCATAGAATAATTACTAATAGGAAACAGATAACCAATTAGTGGTCCTCATCAATAAAAAACAAGTGATATTAGTAGAGAAGTCAAAAATAAAGCAGAACAAAAATGAATATTATTATTATTTTTATTTATTGCTCAGACAGTTGGACGAGATCACAGCCCACCTGGTGTTAAGTGGTTACTAGAGCCCATAGACTTCTACAACGCAAATGCGCCACTCATCTTGAGATATAAGTTCTAAGGTCTCAAGTATAGTTATAACGGCTGCCCCACACTTCAAACCGAAACGCATTACTGCTTCACGGCAGAAATAGGCAGGGTGGTGGTACCCACCCGCGCGGACTCACAAGAGGTCCTACCACCAGTAAACCCCTAACAAGTATAACCTCTAATACATTCAAATAAGTCCCTAAGATGTTAGATGGTGTCGAAGTGTATTTATTCCTTGAATGTTATAGATATAGAATATTGTATTGTAAATTAAAAGTTTCAGCTAATCTCGATTAGCCAATTGTGGTTTGTTGGTGATCGTAACAAAAGAGCTGATACCGACAATAAAGTCCAAATTACTGATTCGTGACATTTGCATTCAAACATTGCTTCGCTTAGAAATCATATTATGATAGGTATGCTGATTGCCGACATTGTCATACTCCAAATGTGAATAGGTGGTATGGTACTCAATAATCATTGCACGTACTGATTTATTAGATCCATACATCCCTCAGTATAAATACTCTGTTTGTTACAGACATACATATACCTTCAGCCCTTTGATGCCCACTGCTAGGCATAGGCCTCTCCTTTTAATGCCATAATGTTCGATCACCCACCATTCTAATCCATGTCTATCAGTTATCATTTCGTCTTGCTAATTGTCTAGCCCACCTCATTTCTGATTCGTTAGTCTCTTTTTTTTGGCTTAGTAAGTTGTCAATCTCATTTTTTTATGATTGGATCATATTTATTTACATATTGAGGGGTGAAAGGCTATTTGGTTTAAGCGACATTTCGTTTAATACGCGATATGAAATTTGTCTTTGTAATAATTACAGGTGCGATTTATTTTGTATTAACATCAACCGTTCGATGTTTTTAATTGAACTTCAATTATGTTTAACCCATTCAAATTGCTGAAGAAGCTTTTTGTTATATTTTTTTCAAAAATTTTAATTTTTAGATGTCTCCTCGGTACAGTTGCCAAAATGACGCATTTTTGCAGTTTAAAAAAAATCTCAGTTTGCAATATCTCACGAAAACCAATATTATACAAATTCAGTTTGCCGCGTATTGATTTACAGTCCATTCAAGGTCCCATTGCCACGGCCACAGTTCTCCTCTCCCGCCTCTATCGATTGTCATCACCCCTTACCCTACACGAAATGTTTCGAACAACTGCCAGTGCATAGTGCATTGTTAATTAAATCACTGCAACAGTGTGTGTTAGTGAACACACACACACAGAATCATCAGGTGGTTTCCTGTTAAATTGATTAAAAAGTGTTTTAGGAACATTTGTGTGTTATTGTATATCGGTAAGGTAATATTTTTGTAATAATCTTCGTAATCAAACACTTTCTACGTTTATTAAGCATTTAAGTTATTTTATTACTCTACATAACATCACAGCGTTCAAATAACTTTTTTAAAATTCCCGCGTTTCACTCACTTTTATTTACTTGGCCATAGACTAAGAATCAGTTCCGAGCTCTACTTTCAGGTCCGTCGCATTCACTGTCATGCTTCAAGTTCACTAAAACAGACTGAATCTTACAACATTTGTAATCACTTTGATTACGTACATATAATGTTCTGTCAACATGCACCAGTTATAGGATTTATAGCCATATCTCAAAGAGTTTACATATTTTTTTCTTTTACTAGCTATGAAAGTATTTAGGAAAATTATTTGGTGGTAGGACCTCTTGTGAGTACGCACGGGTAGGTACCATCGCCCCGCCTATTTCTGCCGTGAAGCAGTAATGCGTTTCGGTTTGAAGGGTGGGGCAGCCGTTGTAACTACACTGAGACCTTAGAACTTATATCTCAAGGTGTGTGGCGCATTTACTTTGTAGATGTCTATGGGTTCCAGTAACCACTTAACACCAGGTGGGCTGTGAGCTCGTCCACACATCTACGCAATAAAAAAAATATATTGATTTATAAAGTTCAATTTTTTAAGTATTGATTTTTGGTAGAATTGTTATTATTAAAGTTTGAAAATGAAAATTGAATGAAAGTGCTGTCTAATGCTGTGGACAAAAATAAACAAGATCTCTCACATTTTAGTAGTGAGTGCGCTAAATTATTATTATTGTCACCATCTTGTATTACTAAAAAGTTATTTTTTCATTTTCGAAATTTTTAAAAGATAAATTAAACAGCTTTCTTTGAATTTGGTTTCTTGGAGATGAAGCCTGTATTAATCACGATCCTTTCGAAGTTTGCCTAGCATGTATGAACGTTAGTAGATGGCCTTATTTCTTTTTTGTTTGTTTTTAGCACGATTGTCTATGACTTATAGGGCTGCGTTGCTGCGTGCATTTAACATCATGTCGATACTTATTATCGGAATATCCTCTAGTTTAAAATTTCAGATAGTATAAATTCCATTATTTGCACTGTATTATTAGGATTTTTATTTATTTGACGATCTTCATTCACTTATTGCTTAGATAGGTTTTTTGGTCAAGTTCCTAGACCACTTGGTTTTAAGTGGTTACCAAAGACCATACATCGTAATGTGAATGCCGTCTTCCATCAGGAGTCTGAAACCCGAATTGTGTAAAAGCTGCCCCACCCAGTTTTTAATCCATTCGCGTAATTACGTTCATAAGCTATTAAACTTTATATACTTCCTTAACTTATATTTTATGTATTACAACATACGTCTTTCGAGCTAATATCTGACATTTAGAGCTTACGTACATTATTACATAATGTCCAATACATTTATTAATTTTAAGTAGCATAATATTGAAATTATGAGTTACAGTTTCTACGACATATTGAAATTTGTAACCAAACCATTTACAAAATATTTTTGCCATTATAAAATTTTCGATAGTTTTCGATGGTTTCACACTCTACGACTGGAGGTTTCCCTATGGGGTGAGGTAAAATAGGGTGGCGTGTGTAAAGCCGCGCGGGGCGCGAGGGCGAGCCAGATAGGCGCGCGTATAAAAGCTTAGTGCGGCGGGTGATCGTCAACATTACCGTTCACTCTGCAGTTTGTCAGACTCAGTCGTGTTCCAAAGTGAGTAACATAAACAGTCAAGTGTTAACTTCTTTGAAAATAGTTCCTAAAATTTGAACTGTTTTTTTAAGACTGGTTTTTGCGGCCAACCATGGATGAGCACGAGATTGCAGAGAACGAAGCGGGCGGGTTCTTGTCGAAGACTAGTACCCAAGACTTGCGGTTTCACTTCGAAGACGGGAAGAAGCCACTCTTCTGGATGGTGGGAATGATGGACTGCTTCACAAATATTTTCTCGCTCTTCGCCAACAGCGAAATGAGACCAACAAGAGGTGAGTTTTGAATGTCTGCTTAATAAATTTGTAAAGTTCATCGGTGAAGTTTGTGAAGTTATTGTAGGCTTTTCGTCGCCGAACTTTTGATGAATCAGATTTTTAGATAACACATTCGATTTGTTTTCTCTATTTTAGGAGGAAAAGTTGAGGTCCTATCTAAAATTTTCATTAGTTGCATATTTTCGATAAGACTATTTAAGTGAGATTTAAAATTAAATTTACGTTGATTTCTTTATAATTTAAACTACAAATCTTAATAGTATTAATAATTATTTAACAATAAGGTATAAGCCACCCAGCACTGTAGTTTCCTACCATCCTGCCTTTTTCTGCAATGATGCTATCATGTGGTCCAGATTCAAGGCTAGGTCTCTTTCATGCAGTAGAATATATATATTATGGTGTCTAGACCAATAACCATGTCAACACCAAGCTTTCATGTGTTGCAAATCAAATCTAAGTATAATAAAAAATCTTTATAATATCTAAATAATGAATGGGATTCAGGAATATAAAATAAAAAAATTAAAGCTGTGTCTTAATTTTGCATTGGGGTATGAAAATTTAATATTTTGTCCACTTGTTCCTTAAAAAAATATCTTCAATTAAATATAAACTTTGAATATTTTCCTACAATTTGAGTACATTAGTAGAAATAACAAAATTATCATGAAAATTGCCTTTGTTTCCCATGTCACAGAATTATTTGAGTTTGGCACATGGGTGAATATGAAACTANGGGGGTTGTGGGGTTCCGGGATGCTGTACATTGATGTGCATTAAGTTGGGGGGAGGGGTGTGGTGGAGAGATGCACATATACGGTGGATCCTCACAATATAATTAACCTTCGTGTATTTTGCAAATGAATCTAATGAAAATTTATTTTGTGAGTTTAAGCCTTTTGTTGATTAATACTGAAGATATTTTTTTTATCAGAGGAAGATTGGGAAGTGCCATTTGAGAGCATCACGGATATGATGTACCTAGGCTCTGGGGCCCAGGGGGTAGTGTACAGCGGCAACCTTAGAGGTGAAATGGTAGCCGTCAAAAAATTACGGGAGAAAGAAGAGACCGACATCATGCACCTGAGGAAACTCAACCACGACAACATAGGTGAGTGAGGGACGTGCTTAATAAATAAAACTAAAACGAATTTGTTTTATTGTACCCTTTTTCTTGTATGTGTTGCTTACGTTAATTACGGTTTCAACAATGATCCCGCGATACCAACAAATAATTTGTACTAGGACCCCGGTAACCGTACGTGCAACTTAACCTAAATATCAGCCCATTGAGTTTCTCGTCGGATCTTCTTAGCAGGTCGCGATTCGGATCCGGCAGTAGATTCATTCGCGAAGCAGCTGCTCTTGAGAGTTGTTAAGTCTTTTTCGGAGGCGTTCGGGTAGCTGTTAGCAAATCCCGCCCCTGGCTGAGCAGTCCTTGTGAAACTGGAAAGGCCTCCGGGCCACCAGTAATCCCGCAAACAAATAATTTGAAGTCGATCCTCAAATTATTACGCCTTTAAGACCATTTAAGTTCAATAAGTCCGTGGAAAGGTTAGCGAGGGATGCAAGCGAACTGTTTCAGTACACAAAGTCAAAGGTGAGGCATCAGACGGGAGTTCAAGTTCAGTAGGTTGCAACTCACACCACGTTCAGAGCGCGGAGGGAAAAATTTCATTCATAATTTCTGCAACCAGTGGTGTATTCACAAATGTACATTTTGTTCTGTTTGTACTGCGTCACTGTTGTAATCACTTTCACTAGTATTACTAGCGTAAATGGGCAGACTAGCTGCCGGCTCATTCGACATTAATCGGACACTAGGTCTCTTAAACAACAGCATAAGTAAATTATTCAATCTCCAAAAAAGGTCAGAATTAACGAATTTGTAACGAGTATCGCATGATTTTAAACCAACGACTGGCTCAAATTTGTAAGCTACGATATTTTATACCCTTTTATTTCAGTAAATGGTATATATTTCTTCGCTTTCTGGATTATTCACTTTAGCAACACACAACTAAGATTTTTCATTTCCTAATTTTACGGAATCTTCCCGTCGCTCGTCTTAAAAAGCTTGAAAACAAAGGCTTTCAATCAGAACGTCCTATCAGTCATTATATACGGGGCCGAGACGAGGACACCCAAGACCGGTTCAAAGTCGCACAGCGAGCTACAGAACGAGCCACACTTGAATTTTCGCAGAAATAAAAAACGGGGCTATACAACAAAGAACCAGTCAGCAAGGTAGCCATAAATTAACGCTGAAGTGACAAAGAACCTGCCACGTATGCCAGAGAACTGTTAATGGCTAGAACCAAAGTCGCAAGATAGCCAGAATTGAACGACGAAGTAGCAATCAATTGGCCACGTATGCCAGAGAACTGTTAATGGCTAGATCCAAAGTCGCAAGATAGCCAGAATTTAACGCTGACGTAGGAATAAACTGGCCACGTATGCCAGAGAACTGTTAATGGCTAGATCCATTGTCGCAAAATAGCCAGAATTGAACGCTGACGTAGAAATGAACTGGCCACGTATGCCAGAGAACTGTTAATGGTTGATCCAATGTCGCAAGATAGCCAGAATTGAACGCCAAGGTGGCAATGGGCTGGCCACGTGTGCCAGAGAACTGTTAACAAAGTCGCATGATAGCCAGAATTGAACGCCAAAGTGGCAATGGACTGGCCACGTGTGCCAGAGAACTGTTAATAGCTAGAACCAAAGTCGCATGATAGCCAGAATTGAACGCTGAAGTGGCAATGAACTGGCCACGTATGCCGGAGAACTGTTAATGGCTAGAACCAAAGTCGTAAGATAGCCAGAATTGAACGCTGAGGTGGCAATGAACTGGCCACGTATGCCGGAGAACTGTTAATGGCTAGATCCAAAGTCGCAAGATAGCCAGAAGTGAACGCCTAAGTAGCAATGAATTGGCCACGTATGCCGGAGAGCTGTTAATGGCTAGAACCAAAGTCGCAAGATTGCTAGAACTGAACGCCGAAGTAGCAATGAATTGGCCACGTATGCCGGAGAGCTGTTAATGGCTAGAACCAAAGTGGCACGATAGCCAGAATTAAACGCTGACGTAACAATGATCTGGCCACGTATGCGAGAGAACTGTTAATGGCTAGAACCAAAGTCGCAAGATGGCCAGAATTGAACGCAGACATAACAATGAACTGGCCACGTATGCCAGAGAACTGTTAATGGCTAGAACCAAAGTCGTAATATAGCCAGAATTGAACGCTGAGGTGGCAATAAACTGACCACGTATGCCGGAGAACTGTTAATGGCTAGAGCAAACCAAGTGTGGAGCACCTCTTGGGCAGACGGAGCACAAGCTTGCAAAAAGCTCCGCAAGAATTGGGTGAATAAAGTCGAATATCGATTTCAGTGGCACTTATTAGAAGCCTATGCCCAGAAGCCAAGTGTGGGCTACTGATGATAATTCCTGATAAGTTTTATAATTTAAAAAGATATGCGTACGCGCATGCTATCCATCCGCAAGCTTAATAGAGACATAATTGCTTTATAAAAATATTGTACTATAGCAAAATCTTTTCTATGACCAAATTATGTGAATCTTAATTTCTTTCATCTAATGTCTTGTTCGCCATTTGCAATTATTGTTTTAACTAGTTCAGTACAAGTTCACTTGTTTTTTTTTCAGTTTGCAACACGTAACTAAATTAATTCGATTTGATTTTTTTACTTACCTCTATGTTGTAGTTCGTTTCCGTGGCGTCTGCTCGGAAGGAGAAAACTATTGCATTATCATGGAGTTCTGTCAATACGGGCCACTCTACGACTTCCTTCACAGCGGTGCATCTTTTACACCCAGACAGATCATCAGGTGGGCCAAAGATATTGCCCAAGGCATGGTCTATTTACACAACCGCAAGATTATCCATCGTGATCTGAAAAGCCCCAAGTAAGGAAGATATAAAATATGTATTCAAGATTAATTAAAATTATCGAAAACAGGAAATGTTAATGTACAATGTATTTTTAACAGTGTCCTGGTAGCTGACAACCTTGTCGCAAAGGTGAGTGACTTTGGCACCAGCCGAGAGTGGGACAACGAGAGTGCCGTCATGAGCTTCACGGGCACAGTGGCCTGGATGGCGCCCGAAGTGATCCGCCATGAGCCTTGCTCTGAGCGTGTGGATGTCTGGTCTTTCGGTGTTGTGTTATGGGAGCTGTTGACCCAGGAGATCCCGTACAAGACCTTGGAGACTCATGCTATTCTCTGGGGAGTGGGCACCGAAACTATTTTGCTGCCAGTTCCGAACAGCTGCCCGGAGAGCCTGAAACTCTTGCTGAACCAATGCTGGGACCGTGTGCCTAGGAACAGGTAAGAATAATTTACGTTCTTACGGATCCTTCAGATTCAATAACCGTTGCATTAGACGCCTTCAGCTCTCACACTAAGAGTGGGCTCAGGAACCCCGGTTACCGTACTTGTAGAACTCGACAAAAAGTTCGTCGTGCAACCGAACCCATGCATCAGCTTACTCAGTTTCCGCCGGATCTTCTCAGCGGGTCGCGGTTCCGGTCCGGTAGTAGATTCATTCGCGAAGCAGCTGCTCTTGAGTTGTTAGGTCTCCTTCGGAGGCGCTCAGGCAGCTGTTAGCAAATCCCACCCCTACTGGCTGAGCCTTTGCTCGCCCACCTGTCTTGGTGAAACTGGAAAGGCCTCCAGGCCACCAGTAATCATTCAATCCTAAAAAAAGGTAAGAATAATAAAATATTTAAAAAGATTTCTTCTTAGTGCAATGAAGGTAGGGAGGGCTACAATTCAAACATACCTTCCAGGCCACCTTTCAAGATAATTTTGGCTCACTTGGACATCGCCGGCGCTGAATTCAGTAGGGTCCTGCCCGACCGTTTTAGCGTGACCCAGGCGACATGGCGTAAAGAGATCGAAAATGAAATGAAGGAGATCTATACGAGGTTCGATTATAACATTAGGCTATATGATAAGAATCTATATATTAATACGTAAAGTAAAAACTTTGTACACTTTTTTACGAAAATTGTGTGGACGGAGGAGTATGAAATTTCCCACACTTATAGAGAATATAGAGAAAGAGTAAATTTTTTTTTTTAATTATGCCTAAAAAATACATTAAATACGTAAAGCTCTCCCTCTTTAAGAACGGTTAGCTGGTAGATAACTCAATTGTTGAGTTAAGCTCGCCATTTTATAACTTTTCGCAATTATTGTATTGTATTAACTGTGTGTACAATAAAGAATAAAGAACGGTTTTAAATCAATTTAAAAAAAACAATACACACACACGCGCATGCATACTATTTGTTTATTATCATTGCTTAAATCAATTATCATTTGTCTGTGGTCAAATTGAGAATAGATTAAATATTGTTTGTCTTTATTTATATTTGCCTAAAGTGTAGTCTTGGTGAAATCTGAAAGTAAAACAGTCTTTGACAATAGAATCATGATAGTGTACAAACTTATAATTTCAATCAATTATAGTTAAAATTCGACTACCGGTGGACCAATAATGTCAATTAACACTAAACATACCATAACGGGTCAAATGACCCATTTTGAACGTTTGCATTGAAAGTGCACGTATCATCTTATTGCTTTTGCACATTGACTTCTTTCTTGACTTTTTACCAAATAATCTACAGTTTTTTTTTATTTTTTTTTTATTGCCTTTGTAGGCAGACGAGCATACGGCCCACCTGATGGTAAGTGGTCACCGTCGCTCATTGACGTCAGCAATGCCAGGGGCAGAGCCAAGTTAGTTATTATCATATACTTTTTATTTTGTTTTGTTTTTGTTTATCTTGAGTACTAATACTTGTCGTATACCATTATCTACCCGGTACGGTAGCAATAAGTATCAGTAAGTGTTGGTATGATTAGTGTTAAAATGTCCCCATTTGGAATCGGTGCTCTAGGAACAAGGAGAAGTTTGAACAGGCTCAGAAACTGCAGTCGGTTCGTCGCGAGGAGCTGCGCTTGGCTCGCGACACGCGTCTCATCTACGAGCAGCAGCTCTCCCGCGCCAACGAACTGTACATGGAGGTCTGCGCCGTCCGCCTCCAGCTCGAACAGAAAGAGAAGCACCTTGACGAGTGAGTTATATATACATATAAATTATATACATACGCTCTTTCAGGATGTTATTACTCGGCGATTTTTTTTTCTCCTACCTACGCCGAAAGTTCGGTTTTCCTCCCGGCTCAGGTAGCAATTTTACACGCGGCAGGAAATGACCTACTTTTCTCCCTTGGTGCACAATGTACTATTTTTTCCTACCTAACTTGATAGCCCTGAGAGGCTATTTTAGCGTAACGTTAACTAGTAAGTAGGTGAACTCACGGGGCTCAAACCGGAGTGATGCTAACACTGACCCTACCAAGAGCAGTGCTTCGCAGAATTTAGCACCGGAACGGAAACGCGACCCACTGAGAAGATTCGACGAGAAACTCAGTGGGCTGTGTCTGTGGATTAATTCGCTCGTCGAGCCCTTCGTCGCAAGCAACGGGTTCGACGAGGACGATGACCGGTTCCGCGAATTAAAAGATAATGTTGAAATCGTTTTTTTTTATATAATATATATTTTTAGCATGGATAGGTGGACGAGCCCACACCCTATCTGGTGTTAAGTGGTTACCGGAGCCCATAGACATCTACAACGTAAATGGTGCCACCCACCTTGAGATATGAGTTCTAAAGTCTCAAGAATAGTTACAACAGCTGCCTCGCCCTTCAAACCGAAACGCATTACTGCTCCACGGCAGTAATAAATATTCCTCATTTCTTTAAAGCGAACAGAGGAACATGAGAATTTCAGTCTCGCAGAGAGGCTGTGCTCATTCTGTTCAATTCTAAGTCGACGCATAACTAATGAGCTGTTTTATTTAATAATTGTATTTTTTAAGCATTTAAATTTTCTCTAAAAGCTTATGAAGGTTGAGATACCTTACAAAGTTAAGACGGGTCACGTAGCAAACAATTTGCAGGCGCGAGAAAGCTCTGAAACTCTGCCGTTGCGGCCTGCGTAAGACTCTGAAGTACTACCAGCGTCAGAACTCGTCATCGTCAGACGGTAAGTCTCCGCTCGAGGTCATCACGGAGGTGCCTCGCCGTCGCAAGCGCCCGGAGGCCCACGTGATCGTGAGCTACATAGAAGAAGACGGACAGACGGTCACCACCGTCATGGAGGAGTGCGAGTGCATAGACAACTGCAAGAACAACAACTTGGACGTAGTACAGACCAGCGTGGTCGAGAGGAACGGTAACATTGAAGAGACCACCTGCGCCTTCCCGTTCGGCAGCAATGACAACTACGCCCCAGGTCAAATCCCAGATGTGGCTCACGTCTAAACAGCCTCTGGTCTAACCTCTGTACCATTTAATTTCGGTTCACGCAAGATGGATATTCGTTGGCGTGCAGAGGCCCGATTTTACGTCAAACATCCCACTTTTTAAGGTTACGTTCGTAAAGGAAAGGATCACGGAATTGTGACGAAAGGATTTTGTTTGTTAAATATTTATTTATGTCCCTAAAACGAGTTCAGTTTTATTTTCCCCGGATCGGAGTTTCGTAACATATATTTCATGTCTATCTCAATGTGTGTAAGGTTATTACAAAAAAAAAAAACAATAAAATATCAAGAAAACCGCAGCACAAATAAATGAAAGTGTTAGCAAAAAAAAAAATTGTGTTTATTAGTTTATAGGAAGTAATTGAACGTTTAGATTGCAATAGTAAGCGATTTAACTTGATAACCACATAAATATACTCGTAGTAGTCGTTGGCAGTGACTAATTGTCGCATGCAGATCGCACATTCGTATCGTTATTGTAATAGCCACATTTGTGATTGTTGTTGATGTACTCCTGCATTCTATGCGTCGATCCTTTCCTAGGACTCTGGTAATAAAATAAAAAAAATATTAGCCACCATCATCAGCGGCCTCTCGAAGACCGTACCAGAGTACAACCAGCCCGTGAAATTTTCAAAACAGTCGTTCGATTTTTTTATACATCATCACTTCGTAAGGCTGATTTTACACATGTTTATATGTATATATAATATATTATATTATATTAATCTGTTTATTTTCAAAGTTTCAATCACCGAATGTGAGTCTTAATGATTTCAACCCGTAATTATATTTGTACCAATCAATTATATTTACTTAAGGTTGTTATTGGTTTGATTCTGTCTTTCCGAAAATGCTCTTATTATATGCGACAGGTTCATTTTGAAATATAGAGTGGTTTTTATTCGATTCAAACGTAAATCTGATTAAAATCCTGAGAATAGGTTTTCGCCGGAGACCACAGTATTGTTAAGAAATATATTTTCACATTCTCACGGGACGCGGGCTCGGCAGTGTTTTTACAACACATTCATTATAATTAAAGTTAAGTTTATTGGATTCTTTAAAAAATATATATATATATAGATTCCACAGTATTTGCTTATTTTTCGTAATTCCTAAAGTGTACTTGAACTTTGAAAAAATGTTTTAAACCAAATTTCTGAAATATCCTTAAGCGTTTGTTCAAAGTTGCATTCGAGTAAGACTAGTCTGGTTAAATTAAGTCTATTGTGATGCGAGAGTGAAGCGCTAAGAGTGATATTTTTATATAAACGTATGGAGTAAGGATTTAGCTATCTCGTGTGTTATAAGAATGAAATGCAAACATTGCGCATGCTAGTTTTGGACATGGAATGAGATAAACGTGATTTTCGTTTAAAAATTACAATCGATACGAAAAATACCGTTACAGGACGCGCCACACAACTTATGTTTTAGTTAATACTCGTAATTATGAAGAGAAAAATTAATATGTCAAAATGTATTGAATATGTTTATTTTATTTTTTATTTCATCATACGTTTTATATTTTGCAAGTTATATCTTGAATCTAATGTTTACTATATATACTAAGATACTTTTTATATTTTATACCATATCGAATAAATAAAAGAAGTTTGAGGTTCCACATTAGAATCTCAGGTAATGATCTCTTAATTCATTCTAGTCAAAATTACGCCGAAATGGAAGCATTTTTTTTTTAACACCATCGAGGACACTTGCTTAAGTTTCCCACCCAGTCATGGTCAGTGTTGCCTATGCTAAAAAATGCTAGTGATTGGAATTATTACGGATTTTAGATCTTCTCTGGCGTTAAAAATTAGCGGAACATTCGCGAAAGAAATTCACTTACAAAACTGACGAATCTGTGAATTTACCTTTATTCATCTATTGTCGCGGACTGGCCTTCTTTCGATAAATTGTTTGTTTATTTTATTTTTAAATTCGAAAACGATCAGCGAACATAAATAATTTAAAAATTATTTGATAAATAACATTCCAATTAATATCATCTTCACATAAAAAGGGTACAATTTAATTCGAATTTTGATATTATACTTATTAGACTTAAATTTAATATCGACAACAAAAGTGCAGCATGAGACAACTTCTTGGAAAAAACTTTAAATGAATTAGTTTTACAATAGTTTTTGAAAGTTTTCGATGCATTTTGCTTCGATTGTACGCAGGGAATGGTATTTGAATCATTCTTTAAGATTCTTCTGATACGATTATATGATGTACTTTGCGATATTCTCTTTTCTCCGAGCGGCTTTTATTGTAATCAACTCCTCACTAAGACTTGATGTTGTAGAAGCCAGGGCTTTATTCGCGATCACTTCTCAACTTGATGAATGAATTGGTCAGTAAGGCATTATTGTATCCCGATTAATTAAAAACAAACTGATGTTATTAAAATTATTGATTATAAAAAAATTATATGTCCGTGTTTTGTGATTTTGAAATGTTACAGACAAATTAATATTTAACGTACATATGTAGTATGTAATTCGAGTATGTAATCACATCGGCCCTGGCATTTCAGTAGATTAGCCTAATTTATTATAATATGTCATTTAAAAATATCAAATGTAATCTGGTTGATGAAATAAAGTTTAATCTCAATTTGGGGTGTCTCATTCGACTTCTATTTTTGTATTCTATTGTTTCCCGATAATTGAAGTTATACTTCTTTAGGCGCGTTATGAAAAATTGATGACAGTGCAATTTTACGATGCGCGCGCACCGTGACACAAAATTAACAGAAATGAAGTTGCCCACTAAATCACTCATTACAATACGACCGACGTAGCTTGGCGAGTCTGATAATAGCCGCAGGTGAACTTTCGCGCATGTACACTCGTAAAAAAAAGTATTATTAGCATTCATTTTTTACTAATATAAATGACAAAATTATTATTAAATATAATTCATACTAAATATTATAAAATTATTAACGTTAAATATTTATTATTCATTAATTTATATTAAAAAAAAGAAATAAATTTAATAAAAATAAAGTATAACCTCTTACGCGCGTACATAAGTACACGCACCCTTTTTCATTTCCCAGAGTCGGGGCGTTTGCACATGAACTACATATTCACGAAATTAAAAGCAAATTGAATTACTGCGTGCTAGAACCATGATTGGATTTGCTGAGTGCACATACCATTTAGATTGCAATCCAGATTAGATCTAGGTACTACTTGTACGATTTAGCTAATATGTCCTGTAATGTACTGTAATGATTGTAACTTGTTTTGTGCATCAATAAATTAAAATAAAAAAAAAGAGTGCAGCTAATTGTCATTGCTTACAGCATCAGTTGAATTATGTTTTGGGAAATAAGTTGGCGCACTATGGGTTTTAAAATCGCCACTAGGTACAGATTATCTTGCTGGCGGTAGAGGATAATCCTAGTCCTCACCCCAGCTCTACTCTCGTGTAAAGGGTGCGATATTATTTGTTCAATGCAATTGAAATTTCGACTTGAGGAGATTGTGGAATTTTTTTATTGCCCTTGTAGGTACACGAGCATACGGTCCACCTAATGGTGAGTGGTTACCGTCGCCCATGAACTTCAGCAATGGCAGGGGCACAGCCAAGCCGCTGCCCACTAAGAAGTTATTTAAGTTGTGCTGAGTCTATGCGAAGGTAAGTCTTGAACTTGTCAGCCATCAACATGGATGAATCAAAGAACTATTTCACAAATATTAAACAAAATAAGAAAAAGCGGTCGCTCGTATGGAGAGACTAATTAAAAAGATAAAAATAAATTGTGCTTTGTGATAAAAATTCGAAATAATTGGAACTCACGAATATATTTGGTGAAGTAAAATATTGTTAATGGGGTTGGCTTTAAGCGTTATTTCTTGGAATTGGAACACTGAGTTAGCGTAATCACTACATAGTATAAAACAAAGTCGCTTTCTCTGTCCCTATATCTGTCTGTCCCTATGTATGCTTAAATCTTTAAAACTACGCAACGGATTTTGATGGGTTTTTTTGTTAATAACAACAACTTGCTACTCTCAACCTGTACCTATCTTGCAGAAAGAAGTCCCTAATAACGTACTGCCGAATATTGAGCAGTGGAAGATACCACCCAAAGACTCTTCTCTACTTCGGGAGAATCAATAATATCTGCACAACATGGTTCTAAATTCTCACCTCCTTACAATATCAACAATGATAGAAGACCTTACACAACACAGTCTTATAAAATATTTCGGCTTTCTGCGATTAGTGACTAAGAAGGTATTTCCCGCTCTAACGAGGTTGACTTTTATTTTACAAACAAAACTAACTCTATGGGTCTGTATTGTACGTCCCATTACGTACGATGGATAATTTAATTTCAAATTTGATGTATTTTATTGTAACTGTGTGTTTTAACTCTAAAAGGTTAATAAGAACCATCACTATTTGTAAGAGTAAATTAGCATACAATTTGTAAACGCGGAGAGAAAAATAATAGCTTATAGCAAGCACACTGCTCGAAAGTTCATGTATCGCAGTTAATGTGGCCCGAAAATCAAATTAAGTGTCTATATGGAAAATAAAGCTAACAAGACTAATTAATCTGATATATTGCTGGAAAATTAAATATTGGTACATACCTAATCATTAATGTTTTGTTCGACAACTTTGAAAGTAATAACGGGTATCATTCATAACAGTTATTTCGTTTCTATATAAGCAGTTACAGGGAAGTGCTCCGTTTGGGTTAGTCAGCGCTAAGGTACAACCCGGTTACGTGAAATACGTGACCTCGCATCGATGACGTCATCGCCCTGTAACGCGCAAGAAAACTAACCAAATAATTGAGAACTTGTGTATCTATATGTGTTATATTTATTTGAAACTAATATTACAGTTGATGTGATCAGTCAAGTTCATTTTTCTAAGCCACTAATGATGAGCTATCCGCATTTATATGTTGGAAGTTTGTTAATTAGATGTACCACTATAGCGATCATGACCGATACGGCTCAACTTCAAATAGGAATGTTTGCTTGCTCCAGGCCGTTTTACGTGATCAATTTTATCGTCCAATTTGCATGAGACTCGATGCTTGTTTGAATAAAGTAAAACGTGTGGATTCGATAATATCCAAAATTAAGAGCCTATCAATAAAGGGTGCCCTTGTCAACCTTGGCGCCGTCCTTTGCCGCGAGGCTTCAGAATTGTTATTTTGTTGTGAAATAATACATAGTTTCCAAAATATCTTTACTCCCACTCAGGAGTACAAAATCTAAAATGTATTCGATATGACAGATGAACTTGTAAATTAATATGCATTGTTCTAGATCCAAAATAATAAACGAAATATGTATATATAGAAAAACATAACGAAGTAAACAAATTGTAAGTGCTTAAGAAGAAAAGGACCATAAATATTTTGTTCTAAACACCAATATATCGATTTTTTTTAATATAAAGATTTGTAGGAAAATCATAATTTGCGTAATTACTGGTGGTAGGACCTCTTGTGAGTCCGCACGGGTAGGTACCACCGCTCTACTTATTTCTGCCGTGAAGCAGTAATGCGTTTCGGTTTAAAGGATGGGGCAGCCGTTGTAACTATACTGAGACTTTAGAACTTATATCTCCAGGTGGGTGGCGCATTTACGTTGTAGATGTCTATGGGCTCCAGTAACCACTTAACACCAGGTGGACTGTGAGCTCGTCCACCTATCTAACCAATAAAAAAAAAGTATTCCATTTATGATCTTAATTTAAGAAGATTTTTTTTTTAAATTAATTTACAATATACAAAACTTTGTTCTGGAATCTGGAATCTGGAAATCTGTATCGTGGTATAATGGAAAATAATGGTTGTTTTATTCGGAGCGGTGGTATTATACCAGGATTCTAATATTACGGCAATTACCAAATTCTTTGAGAAAATACTTTGTGTTCACGAACGATTTTCGCGACATCATGATGTCGTGCTTAGGATCTGTATTATGTCGTGCGATGAAAATGTAATCCGCATAATTAACAAACTTGTCTTGTTACTGTTTGGGCGTCCTGTGCGTTGGCAGTGGTGGGAATTATCATCTCGCAGGTTTCTGCCGCAATGTAGTCAAACATTCTGGTTTACAGGGTGCGGCAGGCCTTGTGCTATGTCACTGAGGCTTTCTTGTTGTAAGGTCATGGTTTCGGCAATCACTTAACAAGTAAGTCGTGTTTCAATCTATACCTAAAAATAAGATTGGAGTGTCTGTTTGTAATATTGAAATAACCGTCTTTTACTACATGCATATGAATATATACGGTACATACACCAAAATAACATTTTTTACAATTTTTGTCTGTCTGTCTGTTTTTTCCGTCTGTTTTAATCTCTGGAACGGCTGGACCGATTTTCATGAGACTTTCACTAATAGGTAGCTGATGATATAAAGAGTAACTTAGGTTACTTTTTTAGACTAGCTTCGCCCCGCGGCTTCACCCGCAGTTATTGTCGTACCGCGCGCAAAATGGCGGGCTTCGCCTATCAATAATAAAATTTATTGTTCCGAAGCGAACCGAGGGCGAGTCGCTAGTTTACAATAAAACAAGCGTCCTAAATCCGAAAATTTGATATTTTTTTTACAAAAAGCATCTTTTAGTGGATTGAATTTTCAATTGAATCCATTCTAGAATTCACTGCAACACACACGCATACACAAAAAAATCATCAAAAGCGGTCCAGCCGCTTAGAGTATTACATCATACAAACGGCCAGAAGAATTGTATGTATGAAGATACAGGATTATAGTAAAATGCCGTTTATATTTCCCCTGTTCACCTAAAGTCCGTAACTAAGCCGTTTATGAAACAAAGTTTACTCAAAGGGCTTTAAAGCTTACGGAGACGTTAGTGATTGTATTTAATAATAAATGCTGCTAATGCAATGTTATCAATATGGTAATCTATTGGTATCTAATTAATTTATTTGTGCACACTTTCTAAATATAGGGGAGGTTCATAATTCGGTTGTTCTTTTTAATGTTTGTCACCAATGAACGAAGAAGACTTATAAAGCGACTAGGAAAATTGTTTCAGACTGCAGTCTAATGACACATTTTGAAACAGGTTCATTAGTTAATAAACAAAACTAAACGGGAAAAAAATTCGTTCAAGTGTAGGAAATTACATTTTTTGCTAATTAATGATCTTCGATCGCTTAGCTTTTTGGAGTGTTTGTATTGAGTTGGTTTTTTATTTATTTGTACCTATTATGTTATAGTGAGCCGTATTTATTTTATTAGTGTACACGATTAATATGTAAATGTGGTTACTGGATTTTATAGATATTTCATCGCAAATGCCGCCATCGCCTTGAGATAAGAAGACGGAGTTTTAATTGTAGTAATCGAACGGTAACCCTTTAAATCGAATATTATGTCCTACCATTATGAAATCGTCTTATCGGATACATAAATGGCAATAGTAATTAAGAATTTAGACAGGACTATAAACTGAGAAGAGTAACACGACAGACGGATGCGAGCATTAGCCCGAGGAATCAAAGTCTACCAGCGTTTCATCCTCATTTTCTTAATTCTCCATCCCTTATAGTTGATTTCCTTTTACTCAAGATGACGTTAAATTTGGTTATTTTCAATAATTTTCCAACAGTCCCATTACCTATTCC